GTGAATTGCATTATTTGTAATATTCTAAGAATAAAATCCCTATGACATCAAACTAGAAGCAATGTTATCACGAATGATCACCATCTGATGATTTCTCATTCCATCATCACCTTGTGTAGTATTAGCTCGAACATCTGGAATAATATCAAGGGGTATAAATTCTGGATCTCCATCAATTAATGAATCAAAAGCTGGATCAGTTTTGCTTTTTCTTATATAGTTGTGTAACGCAAAACATGAACATATAATTCTGTTTTGATCCACTAATGAATAATTTGGAATTTTTCGTAATATCTTCTAGCGAGCCTTAAGAACATCAACGCTCTCTCAATACGACTTCTTAAGGATGAATGTGCCCGGTTAAATACTTCTCCTGATCTTCTTGGTCTTGATCCACAAAACTCTGATTGATGGTATCGTGTCTAAGGAAATAAAAGCAAGTACCTATATCTTTCTGGATAGCCTTTGTCAACCAAATAATACTTTACTAAGGAAATAAAAGCATCTAGTTAAAATTAATCCAAGACATTATCTTAAAATAAAGTACTATTACATCCCAAATTTTCAACATTATCTTAAAATTAAGGGAAAACTGTCAAATAGGTCCTCGAACTTTCATAAAAAGGTCAATTAAGTCCTTCTATAGGAAGTTCTGTCCGGCCGTCGTGATTTGGGGCAGTACCCGGTGGAATTTTTTGATGAAATTTTTTGAGCATTTTACTCATCAAGTCTAGTTTACTCATACCAAATTTTAGCTAAAAATTTAATCGGGAACACATTCAAATTAATTCTTGAAGATAACTGCGCATTTTTGCGTTCTCGAATTAATTTGAATGAGCTCCCGATTAAATTTTTAGCTGAAATTTGGTATGAGTAAACTAGACTTGATGAATAAGATGCTCAAAAAATTTCATCAAAAAATTCCACCGGGAATCACCCCAAATCGTGACGACCGGACAGAGTCTCCTATAGAAGAACTTAATTGACTTTTTTATGAAAGTTCGAGGACCTATTTGACAGTTTTCCCTAAAATAAATCCATTTTCCTACGGAGTAATTCTTAAAATTGTTTTGAATCTACATGTTATACTTTCATTTTCTTTCAATACGTACCAATGCAAAGAAATTTTTATTGATGAATTATAAAAAAGGACCATTAAAGTAGGGTTTAGAAAAGAGAGAATTCCTTAAATAGGAGTAAAAACGTTTTGAAATTCCAAAATAGGAGTATCATGTTTTTTATTCCTTGAATATGAGTAATCTGCCAAGTTTGGAAGAAAATGCCATGTTAAAAAGCCTTGTAATGACAAACTTGGCAGAAATTTACTCTTATTCAGGGAATAAAAAACATAATACTCCTATTTTGGAATTTCAAAACGTTTTTACTCCTATTTAGGTCAATTTCTGTTTAGAAAAACAGAATCCAAACCCGAAAATTGATCCAAGACTGGCTTAAAATATGCCCCCGTACTATACCGAAAAAGTCGATTAGGCCCTCATACTTTACAAACACTCAATTAAGTCCTCGAACTATTAAAAAACGTTCAATTAAGCCCTTTTGGTCGGTAAGTAACCGGTTTCCCGGTTAAACGGCGACGAGAGCGACGATATGCTCGAAACCCAGCAATGGCGGCTGCCGGGAAACGGGTTACATTTAACCGGGAAACCGGCTACTTACCGACCAAAAGGGCTTAATTGAACATTTTTTAATAGTTCGAGGACTTAATTGAATGTTTGTAAAGTACGAAGGCCTAATTGACTTTTTTGATATAGTACGGGGGCTTATTTGATAGTTTTCCCAAATATGTTAATGGTCTATATAGTTTCTACTTAAAAGTAGAGTGAATTCCCTAAATAGGACTAAAAAGTGGAAAAATTGCACAAATAGAACTACATTTTTTAAATTCCCTTAATAGGACTATTTATGTGTGTTTGGACAAATATACCCTTGTAACTTGTGAAATGTTTTATTTAATAATAAAATCATAAAAAAATTAATAAAAATCGAAAAAAATAATAAAAATCGTAAAACAAATAATAGAAAATTAATAAAAATATTTTTTTAAAAAAAATAAAAAATATTTTTTTTTAAAAAAAAATAAATAAAAAAATCATAAAATTAAAAAAAAACACATTACCACCCCTGCCACCCCCAACACCACCATCTCCCATCACCGGACAAAAATATGCCAACATTTTAAATAATGCCATAATGATGGCATAATCAATGAAAATGTTGGCATATTGAAGAGTAATTATGCCATCTTTTTGGCATTTTCAGAAAAATATGGCATTTTTTTATCAAAAGTGGAAGAAATTTCACCAATCGGAGGTGGTGGTGCTGGGAGGCGGCGGGAGGCGGTGAGAAAGGTATCCATAATTTTTTTTATTTTTTATGGGTTTTTACTATTTTTTATTATTTTTTTAAAAAAATTTAAAAAATAAAAAATTAAATTTTTTATTTTATAAATGTTTTATAATTTTTTTTAATTTTTTTACGTTTTTTATATATTTTTTTACGTTTTTTCTGATTTTATTATGAATTAAAGCATTTCATTATGAATTAATACTCTTAGGGGTATTTAGGGTAGAAAATCACTGTTTAGTCCTATTTAGGGAATTTTAAAAATAGTAGTCCTATTTGTGCTTTTTAGGAACTTTTTAGTCCTATTTAGGACAATTTCCGTTAAAAGTACCCTAATTGGATCCGAAAACTCAGGCTCACTAATGATCGTTAAAATCCATAACCCAATTCAGACCGGTCAAACCCAAAACGGTAACCTGATCAATATTAATATAAATTATGTTTGAATTTAAATTGTCGGCGATCTTACTAACTATTATTTATGTTATCTTATGTGATTTATGTTTATAAGTAATTTTATTTGAAAACATTAACATACAAAAAGACAATGAGGATTTCTCATTATTTTGGTTTTAGTCAATCCTAAATGCATTCTCTTGAATTGAATTGCTTATATACTACTAGTCTACTACCTTCGTACCACTAATATTGGTACGAAAGGGGGGTGATACGGTTATTAAGAAAAATGAGTTTGTGTGATTGATATTAATTAATAAAGTAAGAATGATTTAGAACCAAACAAGTTTTACCAAATTTGATATGAGACAATTTTAATAAGATTTTCTGAAAAGGTAAAATGAGATCATATTAGCAGAACGGAAAGAGTACTTTTTTTACTCATCAGAAATGAATTCCTTATATACTACAGAGTACTACGTACCAATTATTACATCCAACATGCATAAATGGCCATTATGAAAAGATACAACTCTTTGTAAACTCATGTTATGAAAACTGAAAAGATACAACTCTTTATAAACTCATGATGACCTGCTAAAATTTTGCACGACTTTTCATTTCTTTATGAAAGTCAAGTACATAGTATCTAACAAAATATAAACTTTTGCCATTAAATACTCCCTTCATCCCATAAAATAGTTTTCATATTGACTTGGATTGGAATTTAAGAAAGTGAGAATAAAGTAGAAATGTATTTTATAAAAAAAGTAGAAATGTATGGTTGTAGTTGAGTAAGAAAAAAGTAAATGAATGTGAACTACAAAAAACTTTCCAAAAAAGGGAAAATGAACTACTCCCTCCGTCCCAATTTGTTTTGCAAAGTCAACATTTTTTTATCAACCAATAATAAAAGTCAATGCTCCTTATGGATAATTAATTCAATTTTTAATAATTACAATTTACATATTCATAATGTACATTAAAATATCTTCAAAGTTGTAAACTTCAAATTAAAATATAATTAAAAATTGACATCCTAATTAAGTGAATAAAATTAAACTATTTGACCAAGAAAAATCAAATTTGGAAATCAATTTGGGACGAAGGTTGGGACGGAGGTAGTATAATTTGGGACGGCCCAAAAAGGAAACCGGAAACTATTTTGCGGGACGGGGGGAGTAACAAAGATTACAATCATAATCTTGTGCATATGATAAATTTAATTAACATTTAAGCTACAAATAGCGAGCAAAAATAGGATTGAAACTGATTGGTTTTGTTTGGTTTGGGGAAAATAGGTTAAAGACCCAAAAATGGTTTATCCGGTTAAGGTAGTGATCAGGTCTGGACTCGGGTCGGGCCTAGGCTCGGGCGGGCCGGGGGTTCAGAATTGGTGGACCCCGGGTAGCCACTGGGTCCGGTCCGGGTCCGGGCCTCCGGTTTTTTTTTTTTTTTTTTTTTTTTTTTTGCTTTCCTAACCCCCCCCAAACCCCTCCTAACCATCAAGCCCAACCCGGGTGGAACCCCAAAAAATGAAAAAAAAATCAATTTGGCCTGGACCGGCCCGACCCGGCCGGTTCGCCAAATGTAAGACCCGAGCCCGGACCCCCCTGGGCCTAGGCCAGACCCGAGAACTGGGCCGATCCCGGTCCCGCACAGTAATGGGTCGGGCCAGTCCACAGGCCGGGTGGCCCGACCCGAATTCACCCCTGGTAGTGATGGACCCGGGTTCGGGTCGGACCTAGGTCTAGTTGGGTCTGGATGGCAACGGTTTAGGCTCGAGACCGGCCTGGTTGTCTACCAGTTCTGGGACGGGTCCGGTTCTATTTTTTTTTCTTGATTATTTCATCCCCTACCCCCCCCCCCCCCCCCAATCCCCCCAAACCCATCGGAAACACCCAGCCCAGCCCAGCCCAAACCAAAAATTAAAAATTAAAAAGCCAGAACCGGCCCCGGAACCGGCCGGGCCGGTTCGCATTTTTACCTATCCTAGGACCCGCCCCCCGGTTTCAACCTAAAACCGGGCCGGGCCCCTACAGTACCAGGCTGGGCCGGTTCCTGGGTCGGGTGGCCCGAACCAAGTCCACCACTAGGTTAAGGTTTAAGGTTCCTCCAGGAATCCTCCAGGACCTCCATTACCCTCAACCGGCCCAGAGCCCCCAGATCCCCGCTTGTGATTTGTGAATGCGCCATGATGTCTGGTTATAACTCGAACTGTTACTACATAAGAGTATTAGTATCTGATGCATGAATGAATGAACATCAATTGCAAAATACTCTTCGCTGAATCGCGGTTTAACATACAGAGTACAAAATACAGAAAGAAATCAATTTTTTTCATGAAAATTACTTCTGCGTTACACCCAACGAAACTGACTTGACAAGTGAATACCCAACCCATAGATCAACACAAGTTAGTTAAATCAGTAATCAATATATATACACAATATTGTGTTACATGTTATCATATATATTTAAGCCACCAAAACTCTGGAGGCCTTTTTTGATTGGTTATGCACATATACAGAAAAATAAACCACCACCCCAGCTGTTCTTGTGAATAGGCCAGCAAATATATGACAGTATTTGAGTCTTTAGCTCATTCATCCTCTCAGTTGCTTAAAAATTGTCTGATGACATTGCCAGAGATCAATTCATGAAGCTCAAACCTTTGGTGTTGGTTGCAGATTCAGGTCAAGAGTTATTATCACGTGATGCTGGAAAGTCAAGACCATCTTTGACATGGTTGATTGCTGTTGGGCACAGCCACTTCAGCATATTTGGACCTAAAACCTATATTTTTAAAAAATACAAAATAAAATAAATTTGCCAAAGAACAGTTCTTATGATTAATTAGTTTATGCACATTTGCCAATCATGTGAGGGAGAGATCTCATACCAGAGCTATGTTTCTATGAGTTCCAACATCAAAGGCATGACGATAGGCCACCCCTGATTTTCTAGCCAACCAAGCTGCTCTACTTGCCTCATAATACTATAATTATAAGTATCCCATCATGATTCAACAGATTGAGACAAAAAAATACAACTACTATTACAACAACATCCAAGCCTTAGTCCCAAAAGATATTGGGGTAGATTTATACTCTATTAATATCATATACTTTCTGATGCACCTTATAATCAATTACCTAACTAATTAATTACCTCTATGGTTGTCATGTTATGAACAGTGAGATAGATATGCCAGCCAAGGAGAGTTGCCAGAGTCACAGTTAAGCCAACAATCATAACTCCACAAGTTACCTGAAAATATTACACCGTCCATCAAAATTTTCACATCATGAGATGCCGCTGCCACCCCCACCGGCCACCTTGAGATGCAAAAAATATGCTCACTTTTAATCTCATCTTATTATATCACAAAACTCTCTGTATCAGCTGTATATAAGTCAAAAACATGTTTAATTATAAATGTTACCCTACCATGAGTTCAGAGATCTTAAGCTGGACTTCTCTAGTTCTCTGCACCGAGACCAAATAGTCTGTGTAGATATAATCATACAATTTGATATGAGCTAGGAAGGTACTCAGATAAGGAGTTGCTTGGTTGGGAGATTTCAGAGAAGAATTTGTTTCAATTTTTTAAGAAGCAATTTATATCTATTTTGTTAGTTTTAAAACATAAATAACTATTCTTACCAACCACCAAACAAAAGAATAGCTTAAAAAAAATGGGGTATCTGATAGAGACTTTACTAAATAAGTTTTTTACTAAGGTCTATTATAGAAGGAGGAGGGTTGGTTATAGAGACTTTACTAAATAAGTTTTTTACTAAGGTCTATTATAGAAGGAGGAGGGTTGGTTATTAGTGAGTTTGTTATAATACGAATAACTACCGGTAGCTAGAACATCCTACTATAAATAGTAGTATTTGAGATTGTAATAGGCATGCTGAAATTGACTTTGTAAACTGTACGCAGAGATGGTTGCCTGAGGCCTTTGGCCATTGTTGCCTTTTCTTGAATAAGAAGTTGCCTTTGAGTTCTTGGATTCTCTTTAGTCAATCTGTTAGATAATCTACAGGTTACTAACATTGGTATCAGAGAGTTCGATCACTGTTGATGGTAGTGACACGCGCTAAGATGGACGCAAGACTCGATCAGTTGGAGAAGATAATGACGGAAGTTCTCGCGAGGCTTGATACGCGAGAACAACATCGATCAAGAAGTCGATCGCGAGCTTCTTCTACCTCGCATCATTCATCGCACCCTCAATCGATGAAATCGATTGAAAGTTCCGATAGCTCCGATGATCTCCAGCAGTTCTCACCACCTCGCCGTCAACACAGACCTCGCCAACACCATCAGACGCACAGGAAGGTTGATTTACCTCTATTCCAAGGTGAAGACGCTTTTGGCTGGCTTGTGAGGATCGAACGATACTTTCGCCTCAATAACACAGAAGAGGAAGAAAAAATCGAAGTGGCAGTAGTTGCCATGGAAGGTAAAGCGCTGGGATGGATTCAATGGTGGGAAAAACAAGCCAGAGAAAGGAATTGGGACAAATTCAAGAAAGCACTGATTAGGCGATTTCAACCTGAGCTCATTCAACATCCATTGGGGCCCTTGCTGAGTTTGAAGCAAAGAAATTCTGTACAAGAGTACATAGAACAATTTGAAAAAGCTATTGCTTCTCAAGAAAATCTGGACAGAAAGGTAATGAGAGCTATATTTCTGAATGGGTTAAAGAAGGATATAAGAGCAGAACTGAAGCTTTATAAGACCAAAGATCTGGAGAAAATAATGGATAAGGCACAAGTGATTGAGGATAAGAATGAAGAAATACTGTCAAGAAGGGATAAAGAAGAAGGAAAAAGATCATGGAAGAACACTGCAACTAAAGGAAGCAGTTATCTTAAATGGGAAGAAGGGATTAGAAGTAGCAGTAATCCAATTCTTACACATTCTGCTGGGAAGAATAGTATTGACAACAAAATTGTGGACTGTGGAGTCTGGTGAAGGTTCCAGTTCAGGAAAAATAGGCCCCAGATTATCCCAACAAGAATTGATGGAAAGGAGTAAGAAAGGCTTATGTTTCAAGTGTGGAGAAAACTGGAACAGGGGGCATATATGTAAGATGAAAAATTTTAGAATGGTTTTGATGGAACATTCCGAAGGAGAGGTAGAAACTGAGGTGGAGGGCAGCAGTTCTGAAGAAGAGGGACCTCACCCTGAACTCAAATCATTGCAATTGTCTGTGCTCAACAATGATGGTATACAGCATGTGAGAACTTTTGAAGTAATGGGAAGACTAAGCTGGTCTACAGGAGAGAAACCAGTAAATATTCTCATTGATTGTGGTGCTTCTAACAATTTCATTTCGCAGAACTTGGTGGACAAGTATAAAATCCCTTACCATCAAATAAAAGGTTATAGGGTCCAGACTGGTAATGGGGAGTTAATTCCCAATAATGGCAGATGTATGGGGCTGAAACTAGATGTACAAGGGAGTGTAATACAACAAGTTTTCTACATCCTGGAGTTAGGAGGGACAGAATTGGTGCTAGGCATGGAATGGTTATCTCAATTGGGAAATATGGCAATCAACTTCAAACACCAGTTCATCATTTGGAAGCAAGGGAGTCAGATTTGTTTCATAAAAGGGGATATAGCTCTAAATGAAAAAGAGACTTCTAGAACAATCAATGCACAGATTCTGCACCCAACTGTGGAGGGGCATCTACTGTATTGTAAAGAGGACGAGCAGGAGCAGAACATGGAACAAGAGACTATTGATTTTAATATCCAGACCAAGGAAGAAGCTGACTTTGTATCTTCATACACAAACGGTGGCTCAATTCCTGGGTTGCCTCACAATAGCAGGGATATTCAGGAGACGTCTGTGAATTGGCAAGACCGAGTAATGAAGTTTCTCTTTCAGAAATTTGTGAAATATTGGGAAGGCAGGAGCGCTAGGATGAAGAAGAAAAAGGAGCTTTTGGCTGCTACCTATCACCCACCTTGAGGGCAAGGTGGATGTTCAGGAGGGGAGATTTGATAGAGACTTTACTAAATAAGTTTTTTACTAAGGTCTATTATAGAAGGAGGAGGGTTGGTTATTAGTGAGTTTGTTATAATACGAATAACTACCGGTAGCTAGAACATCCTACTATAAATAGTAGTATTTGAGATTGTAATAGGCATGCTGAAATTGACTTTGTAAACTGTACGCAGAGATGGTTGCCTGAGGCCTTTGGCCATTGTTGCCTTTTCTTGAATAAGAAGTTGCCTTTGAGTTCTTGGATTCTCTTTAGTCAATCTGTTAGATAATCTACAGGTTACTAACAGTATCCTAAATATTTATAAATAAAACTTATGGAGAAAAATATGACTAAATATACTATTGACCATAATGCGGTCATAGGTCAATACAGTATAAAATTGATCGAACGTAAACATAGTCACTAAAAGTTAATAACATAGTCAGTGTATAAAAATCACATTTTTTGTCCATCGGTTTTATTTTATTCATATATAATTATTATTTCAATAAACTAAGTAGCACCCTTCCCCTAACAATCCCCAACCATAAAAGGGCTAAGAGAACAGAGTTATTAGAACGACATTTTAGTCTACACAAGCCTTGTATAGGGAAATCTATCAAAGTCTTATGAATCTAAGAAAACATAAAGCCTATTTGGTATTTTTTCAGTTTCGACTTGGGCTAGTTTTCACTTGGATTGAAATAGACCAGACTTAAACAGATAATATCATAATTAAACAGACCATAGCAGATTGACCAACCCAGAAAAAATTCAGGCCAAGTTAAAATACCCTTGTAAGCCTTGTCAACCAATTTGTAAAAAAGTAGTCAAAGTATCTTTTTGGCTGAAATGACAGAAATTGGTACTTATAGCTTCATTTTTAGATTTTGATTCCTTTAATGCTAAAATAAAATTGTTTAAATGATTTAGCAAACTGGTCATTTCAACCAATATTTCAGAAGATTTAAACACTTCAAGCATTTAGAGTCTTACCAAACGGGCTTTTAGGATGTTTTTACTTGGACTGATATTTTCTGGTCTGGTCTAGTCTGCAGTGTTCTGATAAGTGTCTGGTCTCCGTGTATTTTCTAACTATCCAAGTCTAGTATGGTTTGATCAAGGACTGAAAACAGTCCAAGTAAAAAACATCCTTAGTGTGCAAGGATCATTGAGATAAATACATTTGTAGCAGCATATTTTTATGGATAAGTAGTGCAATGATGCCAGTT